CTTTACTTGTAATAAATTACTGATGAGATCGACAGAGTCTGGAGAGATCTGATTCCAGGGATCGGGTGGACTGTCATGGATTGAAAGGCAAAAACAAATACAAACGATAAAAGTAATCAATTAATTGCATATAAGAGTGGCTAAGAAGAAGGTCTACTGACAACATGAAGGCAGCGTTCGTTATCTGATCCGATATGTCTTCTTCTTCATTGAAAGGAAAGGTTCCGCTAAGACTCACGTAAATGATTACACCGACGGACCACATATCTAGTGTTCAGCAATCGTTTCAATTATTAAATCGATTCAAACTCAGCGCTAATTAATTGATTGATTTACCTAAAGATCTGTTGTATCCCTTATTACGTAATACTTCAGGCGCTAAATAGGCGGGGGTTCCTGTTTTGCGGCCAAACAACACATTTATTATACAATTATCTGTCAATTAAAGGCAAATGATTTATTGAAAACAAGACATACCGACAACACTTCGACGGAAAGATTTTTCGCCGATAAGTCTCGCGAATCCGAAATCACATAATTTAACCTATAATTCAAACGAAAACAATAATTAAATTTTCATTAATTAATGAATTACTTGACAAACAAAATAAATACTTGAGGAAAATCCGAGTCCGACGAAAGCAAAACATTTTCTGGTTTGAGATCGCAGTGACATATGTTTCTCGAGTGAAGATATCTTAACGCGTGTAATATCTGTATAATAAAAGATTACATACAGTGTAGCCATACATTAAATAGTCATTAAAATTCATTGCAATATTAATTAGGAATTGATTCAAAATAAAAACAAATTATCGCAACAAAAAAATTAATGAAAGGCAAAAAACCCATAAATACTTGATATATAAGAAATTTGGTGACGCGCTCAGAGAGTCGGCCGGGTTTGCTGTTGAGTATCATCTCCAACATATCGCCCTTCATCTTCTCCATCACCACTAATATTCTTTCGGGCGTTTCAAACATGTTCTCCAAATTAACGACTCCCGGGTAATGGATCTCTTGCAGGATCTGCACCTCATTCTTCAACTGCGCCTCTTGTTTGGTCGGAAACCTGAGTTTGTCTATCACTTTAATGGCTACGGAACGGCCGGATGTCTTGTGCACTCCGCCATAGACTATACCGAACTGTCCCGAACCCAACACTTCGTCGGGAAATATCTGGTACTGATAACTGATATCCAAAGAACTGTTGTGATCGGATGG